CGTTTCGTATGAAGGAAATAAGAAAATGGAAGGAAAATGAGTAGATTTACACACTTATAAGTAATAAACCAATTATAATTTAAAATTATATGGGATTTATAAAAAATTTATATAGAGACCATACTTATAAGTGATAAACCCTTACACAATTTTTTATTATTATTGAATAGTTATAATATTATAGTAAAAGAATTGTAAATGATATACTTTCCATAGATTGTGTATGAATGTGAGAGTTTGGCTTTCATATAGTTAAGTAATCTGATTTGAGATTTTTTGATTAATTAATTAATCTTCATTATTTTTCCAGTATACTTTTTAATTTTGATTTTAATTAATTGATAGAGTTCTAATATAGAACAAAAACCACTTAATTAGTAAAAGCAATCTATTGAGGTTTAACAAAAAACAAATTCCATAAATAAGATTTATGGTAGGAGAGTCATTATTAATTTGAAGATAAAAAAATAGATAAAACCTTTTTTAAAAGTTAATGGAATAGCATAAAAATTTATTTTCTAGAAAACTATTTACCATACACAAACTTTTATTAATATTTCAATTTCATAATGATTCTTAAAAATTTCATACAACGACCTTTCAGAAGATTTTATTTGGGATTATCTTTAATGTTAGTGCTTTAATAGTAGGTTGTTGAAATTTTTGTTTGCTTTCTCATTATTAGTTTTAGATTAAGTGTACGAATAAGAGTTTGATTAATTAATTTTCTCCAATGGTTAGTAGAAACTTGCATTTGATCAAAGAAATTAGTGATGCCTATTCTTTCTTCGCACTCGATCCTTAATAGTCAACTTTTTGCTTTTGTTTAATATAATTGTATATATTATGTTGAGTTTGTTATGCAAGTTAATTGTTTTCTTTAATAAATAATAAGCAAAATTCATTGATGACATACGACCTTTTATCCATGTATTAATTTTATTTAAAATCTTTAAAAGTTATATTTATCATCTATGACTTTTATTAATATCTCATTTTCATCAATAATCTTTAAAAATTGCATTTGTCATCCACTACTTTTATTAATATTTCATTTTTATTCATGTATCAATATTTGTAACCTTCAAAAAAAATTTATCTTTCATTAATCCTTTAGTTAAAAATTAAAAAAAAAAAAAAACTCCTTATGTCCCATTTTTCTTATCTATTTTTATTTTTTGAAATGTCTCAAAACTATGTTCTATTCTTTTTGGAACATTTAAAACTTTTACTTTGTATATTTTAAAATTATTTTTATCATTTTTTTTTATTTTTTGACATTAAAAAGCATGAAACTTTAATTTTATAAAAAAAATTTAAATTTTAATATTAAATACATTAAAGTCAAAATTTTTTCTTCAATTTCATGAAAATCAATATATGATAACTATTTTGAGTCGAAGGGACTACTAAATATTCTTGTAAGCTTTAATTTTCAAGTCATGGTAAGGTCCACCAAAGAATTGTCAATTTCATTAGAAATCTAATTTATTTTCATCTTTGGCATTCTATTTATGTTTCTTTAACTTAGTAATTAGTTGTGACTTTCGTTGAAATATTATAGAATGTAATGTATTTTTGAAATATTTTTATATTAATATTTAATTTGTATTGTTATATTATTGATATATTTTATTTAACCTAATCATTAGCAATTTATCCATTTACATCTAGTCGATTATACATCCAAAATCTATCTCTATCCAATCAAATCGGTTTTGGTGCAAAAAATTATCGTCCAAATTAAAATATCAATGGAAAGTAGTTTCGTTAATACCCACGTAAGGAATTCCATCGGTAATTTTGAAAACCCTATCCCTTATTTTTCACTGTAAACCCATTGTAAATCCGTCCAAAATTGACTTTTAGGGATAAAAATTTTCGCTAAAAGGCGATCCTCTTGTGGTGGAAGTTAATAAAAAAAAAAAAAAGAAGCTCTATTAAGAATTTATTTGTTTTGAAAAAAATGACTTTCGAAAAATAAATTTTATATTATTTTTGGTTGTTTGATAAAAAAATTCACTGGTCTACAAAAAATATTATTATTTTCCCGAAAATTAATTTTTCCTTTTAATAATTAATATTATTTAGTATAATATTATTATTTTAATAATATGAATATATTTAATAATTTCTTAATATTTTCCAATTTAAAATGTATTACTTTTATATTTTGAAAATTGTATTTATATTACTATTTTAATAATAAATATAATTAAATAATATTTTGTTACGATTTAGTAATATATACTTTCAATATAAAATATAACTTTCTAATAGTTTAAATATTTTTAATATTTTAATAATAAGTAATATAATTTTAATATTATATTATTAATATAAATAATATTTAGGAATAGTGATACTATTTTAAACAGTTTAAAATATTAATATAAATAATAAATATTTTTATCTTAAGTGTTTTATATTAATATAATATTTTTATTTAAATTATTATTTTTAAAATATAACTATTTTTCAATATTAATAATTTTAATAATAAATCATTTTCATATATTTTAATAATAAATAATTTTTAATATTTTAATAGTTATATCAATATTATTTTTTAAAAAATAGATTTTTCATAAAATAATTGAACAACAGAAAACATTATTTATTGACTCATTCAAATAGTAAAAAATCTTTAATTTTTCAAAAGATGTAAATATTTTTCAAAAAATTTGTTTGACAGTCAATTTTCACAAAACAATTGAAACTTTATAACCACTATCAATTAAAGTTCAATATATATAACATAGTTACTTAAACCAACAAAAGAAACGGAAGAAACAAATCAAATATAATTAAAGGTAAGAAGTTTATTGTATGTCTCACTCAAGAGCATATCACCTACAATTACTATAATATAATTAACCAATTATAATTCAACATTACATTAGGTCTATCAAAAAAATTATATAAAGCTCATATTTTTAAGTGTGAAACTCTATATAATTCTTGATTGTGATTAACTAATTGTACTATTATAGGAAGGAGAATTGTAGGTGACATATATCCGTCTCACATAGCCCATGGTTAATAGAACTCTTAACTATTAAAATTTGAGTTTATATTTAATACACTTTTATTATACAAATTATATACATTAATAATGAAACTGATGATGTCATCTTATTATTAAGCAAATATCAACAATTAAAATAAATTAATTTTAAGCTTATGCGATGATGCATGGATATACAATTATATATATATATATATATAACTCAATTATATATAATATAACTAACAAAATTTTATATAAAAAATAAAAGATTTTAATGTAAAATAATGAAAAAATAAAAACATTGTACATCAAGATGCACTTATATAATATAATGAAAAATGTTTTGTATCACATTTCATCTAATAATTATATTTATATAAAATTAAATAATATTTGATTCCAAACAATAGAAATTTATTCTACTTAAAATCAAATTTTTATAGAAACTTTTGCTTGGTGCTGCCCCTTACTTTGGTGTAAGACATCTAGAACTCTCAGTAATAACAGCAAACCCTTGAATAGATAATGTTCATCCTTGCATTGTATTCACAAAAGTCAAAGTAGTTCAAATTGAATTTTGTATTTTTTGATGAATGGGATTGAAACTATATGGTACATATGAAACATAGATAAAACTGTAAATGAAAGTTAAATAGGAGAGCAAAAACTTGTACCAAATTCTAACAAATTTCAAATTTAACTAAAAAATCTCACCAAAATCTCTAAGGACTAAAAACTAAAAAGAGATAAAACATATGAAAACTTTCCATTCAAAAGTTAACAAAAATAAAAAAAGCTAATATTGAAAATGAGTGGATAAATAGAGTATGAATAAAAGAGATATAAAATCACCCGATAAACATAACAAAGAAAAAATTTATCAATATAAAAAGAACATGTAACGTGGTTATCAAAAGTTTCTTAATCATAATGAAATCAATACATTTGGAGGCTTTTGAAAATTACCTCTTAGTACACTTAGCATACATGATTCTCTATTTATAATAAGAATTTGAGAGATTTTTATAAATTGAGAGTAATTTATGCAAAAAATTATAATAGATTATTAATTATTTATGTAATACATATTTTATTTTGAAAAGTCTACACTATTTTGAAAATTTCTTGTAAGACAATATATTATATCAATTGTAATTAATACTTATATAGAAAGAAATATGAAAATATGTTTCCAACTAATTGGACTTTTATTTTAGGTTTGAATTTTTAGTATTATATGCCTTATATATTCATTTAGGTTAATAAATACATATATATTATTTCTTAAATACTAAATTACGATCACTAAATAGTCAATACTTTCAAAATATATTTCTTATTTGTAGTATACATGTTTGATGTTTAAAATTAAGGATTGAATTTGGTTAAAAATGATTTAAGATAATTTAATTGTAACACATTTATAAAAAGCAAGATTATTGGATATTTATATAAAAAATAAATAACCTAATTTAGCCAAATAAATATCTTTTAAATTAATAAAATGTATATGAAGTTATATCAAAATAACTAAATGCAGGATACGTGATGATTATTCAAAACAATTCATATGTCAAAAAAATAAATTATCCACATTGACTTTTTTTTTTTTTGCCTAAACTATTGGTTTTTATATATTTATATAAAATATGGAAAATATTAATATAAGTAAAGGGAAAAGGAAGCTTAATTTAAAATCAGACTCTTAATATTTTTTCAAGCGTCTTCAACTACTAAGTTAAAGGTTCGGAGATAAGCTTTATATACTGTCCATGTGACTAGTTTACTATAAGTAAAAATCAACAAGTTAAGGAACTTAAATGGAAACATGGAAATTGAATGGTTATGAAGGCATAAAAATTATTGGTTATTGTGATAAAGATATTTCTCTTAACCATGTTTTATTTTGTTTTTAAATCAACAATAGAAGTATTGAAGAAATTTGTACCTACGGGGTTCTTGTCGTTTTATCATTGCCCATGCTGCTATATAAATCTATGTGACGAAACTTTGGAATCACAAGAAAAACTAATAGCCAAAACTGTAGAAACCTCCCTACTCCAGTGACTCAAAACTATCATGGCTGGTGCTGCTAATCGACGGACAACTTTGAAGATTACGAATTCGACTAGAGATGTAGCAAGGCTGTTCTCACATATGGATTGGGCCGGGTTTGAACCAGTCCCACGGGGGATTCCGGCTGAAAAGACCATTAACTTTGAGCACATGGCTGACGCTCGAGGTTCAAGAGGAGCTGTTGTGTATGAAGTCGGGAATGGGTATCGGTGGCTTCTTGCCTGGGCCAACCAGCCGTCCTGGGCCGGCCAGACGCCTGTCGACAACCAGGTATTGAATTGTATTGTATTGTATTGTATTTGTAACAAACAATAAATTAACCCAACGCACCCAGATCCTTTATAGCTTTGAAATAATCAAATCTATCTGCAGGTCTATACTAACATTCTTGATGTCTGGGAAAATATTAATTGGGATGATATCAGTAGCCTACTCGACCGAGCTAACTCCACCAGTAATCACGCTAGAGACGGATTCACCTCAGCTGCAACGATTGATCCAAACGGTCCTGAGCCAATACTTAGGGCAGAACTCGTACAAGTTCCTCTGGGTAACTAGTAAGCTGGCTTTGCTCGATGCATTTGCATACGAGCAAACTGTGGTCGGTTGGCTGTCAAAAATAATAATGTGCCATGTGCACAACTAGTAATTTATTACTACTATCAAAATAAATAAATTTGACAGCAAGCTTCTTATGCGTGCTTAGTGTGTGTATGTAATGTACTAATGTGAAATATTTCAGATTAATCCCTGAATTAAGAAAGGCCATGAAGCCCATGCCTCATGCCATGCGCCTGTATACCTAGCTATCTGTAATATTTCATCATAATATATAACGAATAATGCAAGGTCTTTCTTTCATCTTTTTTAGTTTAATGCTTATGGGTCAACATATTTCTGATCAAGCTAAAAAAAATTACAACATTTTCTTTGAAATGTTAATCGTGGACATGGTATATAAATAACCACACGCCAAGACTGGTTGCTAGATTCAAGTTAATCATGGTATTTTTTAAAAATTTTTAAGAAGTAAATGAATTTCTTCAAGGATGAAATTAAAATAAAAGTACAAGTGATGAAATCTTTGAGAATTTTATGGTGAAAAATTTTCTCAAAATCTTACCAAAAGTATTGAGAAGATTTTTCAATAAAAATAATTTTTACGTATTATCTTAAACAATATTTAACAGTTAATTATAGAATTTTTTTTCTTTTCACATAAATCATGTAAAATTTTGAGTAATAAATGAAAATTACAAAAAAAGAACCTAAGTTAATTTGTTAATTTATTAATTAGAGAATTGGACTGTTGAATGAGAGTCCAATCCCAAAAGGCCCAATGTCTTTGGGCTAGTAGAATTTGCATGGACTAAACCTAACTAAAAAAGCCTAGAGAGTCCAATATATCTACAACTCTATGAAAATTAATTCCGTGTTAGAGAAAATATAGCATGTGGTGGCGGTTATACGTTCACGGAATGAAGAAGGACCCAATGTGATTAATCCTTGTAATCACACGTCGAAGATGAGATGTTGAGAATGAAAATAAAAATATTAATAAATTTCACAAACGTTGAAATTGAGCTGTAATTTTTAAAAGTTGAATTATCAAAATTTAAATCTTTGAAAAGTTCAATGATCAAATATATAATTATTCTTTTTTAATATCCAAAATTATAATTTTATATTGATAATATCATTTGATACGTTAGATGACATAATAATATCAGATTATGAATGTCAGATGACGTGAAAAATCACGTCAATTAGCTATTAGCCTCTAAAAGCTTAATAACCAAAAAATAAATTTAAAAAATGTTGTTGATCAAATTGTGATTTTCTTGTAACTAAGTGATCAAAATAAAAAAAAACATGAAAACTGTAGGGGTTAAATGTACAATTCATCGTTTAGTGCTTTAACAGTGCTTAGGTTGTTGAAATTTTGATTTGCTTTCACATTATTATATTTTTTAGATTACAGCATGAATGTGAGTTTGGTTTTTGATAGATATGTATATCTGATTAAGGATTTTTAATTAATTAATTAATTAATTATAGTTATTTTTTCATTATAGTTTTTAATTTTGAATCAATGTATTTAATTAACAGAGTTTAAATTAAATTAAATTAAATTGCTTTCTTTATAGTTCTAATGTAGAACAAAACCCACTTAATTAGCAAAAGTTAATTTGCATGAAATTCAAGAAAAACAAAAACTAAATAAGGTATATGGTAGGAGAGTTATTATCACATTCAAGATAAAATAAATTGGACAAGATTTTATTTAAAGTTAATGGAATAACATACAGAAAAACTATTCTCTTTGGCTTTGACTTCCAATCAGCGAATTTTTTTTTATTTTCTCCATAAAAATTGGCATTTAATCAAAAAAAAAAAAAGATGGGTGTTCCTTCCTTCAAACTTGATCTTTGATAAGTAAAATTTTTCTTTTTCTTTAATATAATTGTGTATATTATGTTTATTTTGTTGTGTAAGTTAATTGATTTGCTTTTATAAATAACACAATAAATCATGTGCAACGTAGCGATCAAGAAGCTAGATTTTATAAAAATTGCACACCCTAAGGCCCAAGCCATATTTATATAATAATATAGATTATTGTTACTTCTTTTTTTTCAGGAGTTAGATTAAAAAAATGATGAGGGATTAATTAACACACACTTTTATCCTTTCAGGTAAAAAAATATAAAAACAATTGATCATATGAACGATTTTTTTTTTTTTGCAAACATTTTATAATTATTTGTAAAAAATTTTAAAAGTATTATTATTATTTTTTTTATTTTTCAGATGTGATTTTAGATTACACAATGACAGATAAACCTCTACCATCTCCTAAAATTCTTGTACATATCCCAAAATTCGAATGTGAAATCATCTCAAATTCCAAATGCTGGGATGTTATCATCAACGTATAATAATTTTGTCTCTTTCAACAACTATTTCGGCTTTCATCAAACATAGTTTAATTTAATGCCATGCATATAAATGCAATCGCCATATAGCTGTAGACTAGCTTTTAATGTTCTACCTATAAATAATGCATCCAACGCTTCAATTCACAATCCAAATCTCAATCACTAAGGACAAACAACCAATGAATGATCAACAATGAAAATAAAGTATGTCCAAAACACAGCACGAATTAATGAACAAAATGAAAAATTCTTCGTGTATTTTAATTTTTAATGATATATTTGATTTGTTGATTGTAATCATGTATTGAAATTGATTATTAGTCTTATTTTAGCCTTTTTTTTTTTTGTTTTTCATCCTTCATTCTTTGATTTAGGTTAAAATCTCTATGGGATTTTAAAAATTATTAATTGAAAATAAGCCATGTAAACTGGTTCTATGAATTTATTTAGCTATAAACATTAATTTGTCATCATCTCCAAATGTCCTTTCATTTTCATGCTGGTTTACTTAGTTACGAGACTTATACATGAAAATTAGTGTTTTTATTGTAGATATCATAACATATAAATTCATAAATTCACAATTAGATTTAACATAAGTATCGTCATCAATCTTTTTTATTTATATATGATTGATCACTTAAAGAATCTATCATTTTAAAAAATTTCTAAGCTTAACTAAGGCTTACTAAAAGAATAGGTTCGGATCTACAAACTATAATATGGTTCGGGAGTTCGGTTACATATGAGAAATGTTATAGCACCCCTACATGCCCATCCGATAGATAGTACCATTTTATTTTAAATTTATCCTAAGGTCTTAATTCTAATAATTTTAAATTTTTATGTTGAGTATTTGAAATAATTTTTAAGATTCTCCATCAATCTGGTAAAATTCTTAAAAATATTTTCTCACCTCAAGAGTATTCAAAGATCTTATTTGTTTCCTTGAAGATGCTTTTATCGTTGGAAAAATGTTTAATTATTATTTTTTTATTTTTTTGATTTTTTGTTTGAAAATATATCTAATTATTCTACTATTTAGGCCAAGTTAGAAATATTTTATCTTTTGAATTTTTAAAATTTTCATCATTTGGGCCTATTTAGAAATTTTTTTATTTTATTTTTTTATTTATAAAATTTTCACTATTTGAGTCAATTGAAAATTTTTTTAAAAATTTTTTTATTTATAAATTTTTCATCATTTGGGTTAATTTAGAGAATTTTTTTTTTTATTTTTTTTTGAAAAAAAATAATATGACAACCATTTTCTTGGAGTTTCATTTAAGTTCTTCACTATACGAAACAAATTTAAAGAAATTTCTCACCTAAAGATTTTTAAAAAATTTACCAATTGAAATTTCTAAGAATCTCATTCTTGAATAATTGTCACATATTTTCAACTAAAATTATTTTATTATTTTTTGTTTAAAAATAAATATTAGTTATTGTTATTGAAATTTTATTTAAATTATTTCACTATTTGGGATAAATTTAGAAAAAAATTTCATCTAAAATTTTATAAAAATTTATCATTTGAAATTTTTAAAAATTTCATTATTGGATAATTATTATTTATTCTCAAAAATTTTTCTTTTTATACTTTTTTATTATTTTTTTAAAATTTAAATAAATAAATAAATAAATAAAATACCAAAAAAAGAAACAGCTTGGCTGAAGGGTTCAGCATGGCTCAGCTCCAGGCACGAAAAAGGGCTTGAAAACGCGGTTCGGGTTACAGCTCAGCTCAGCTTATTTGAAGAGGTTGGATGGAACGTGGGTTGACCAAAAATAGGTTGCGCTGTGTCAGGTCAATTCAAATAGGAACGTGCGAATCCTGAGACTTATGACCCCTCAAAACCAACGCTATTTTAATTAACTACAAAAGTCAATTTTTTTTTTCAGATTTTCCTTCCCCTCTCTCTCTTCCTCCTTTTTCTCTCCCTCTCTCTCTAGAAACCTAGGATTCATGTTGAATACTTCATCAAAATTTGGGAAAAGCTACCGAAAACTGAAAAGTTTCATCAAAATATGCAAGTTCACTAAAAAACTCGTCGAAAACTGAAAATTTTTTAAAATTTTATTAAAAAAAAAATTTTTTTAACCCAAAAATTTCCCTAATAGTTTTACCTTTCTTAACTATCTTTTCTTTAATATTTGATTTATGTGATCTTTCTCTGATTTTTCCTCTGATTTTTTTTTTGTCTGTGTTTCTATGGAAGCATCTATTTGTAGGGTTCTGATCAAAAGAACCTTATACTCGAACATAATTCAATTTTCTTTTAATTTCAACTTCAGTCTTTAAATCTAATTTAAATTCTTCACACAGTTTCACACAAATTTAACCTGTTATATTTTTTTTATTTTTTTAATTAACAAAAATCAAATTGAGTAAAACCTTAGACAGATTGGGATATATACATTGTTTTGTTTTCGTATGAAGAATAAAAAAAGGAGATGAAATGAAAATGAGTGAATTTGCACATTTTCTTTTTCTTAAAAAAGTAAGTGTATCATTTATAATTATTATAATATAATTATTTTTTCAACGAGGACTCCACAGAAGACAAAGTAAATAATGAAAATTTAATATTTTAATAATTTTTTCCCAATGAGATCTTAAAAAACAAAGTAAACTCTTGACTCTGAAGAATTGTTTCAAACGGGGTTCAAGCCCATAAAGCCTATATAACAGATTCACCGTTATCCCATAATAGACAAAGTAAACTTAAAATATTTTTTTTCACCAGGGCTCAAGCCCGCAACTTGCCCTCGCCAAGGTCCGCTCTTGATTACAGGTGTGAATGGATGGATTTGGTGTTTGATAGCAAAGAAATTTGATTTTCTATTGTTTTTAGTTTTAGTGCATTAATTGTAGGTAGTTGAAATTCTAATTTGTTTCACATCATTG